CCCCCCAAAACCCCTCGACATTCCCTATGATTCTCAGTGTGGGGAACAAGCGGGCCATATTCCATCTTTCAAAGATAAGCTATTGTCCTCTGAATTAATGATGGACATAAACCTAATAAACCAAGAAATTCCCTCATCTCCTACTAAACCAAATATCCAACAACCTCATGGGTCTGATCAAGAAGACCTAATGCTACTAGATACTCCTTCTTCCAGTGCAAAACAATAAACCACCACCATCTCCTTAGCTAAAGGAATAAAAGAAATCACCCTAACATCGGAAGACAGAAGTAGAATGTATACACCATGGAAATATTCTGTGATTGTTAAATTGGTAGGAAAGAGAATTCCACACCAATATCTAAAAGAAAAAAATCACAAAGCTATGGAAACCCACTGATCCATTTCCCCTAATTGATTTGGGCCATGATTTTTTCATTATCAAATTTTTCAAAGAAGAAAACATGACTATAGCACTCCAGAGTGGTCCATGGTTTATCAATGGATATTTTCTATCAACAAGGCAGTGGGAACCAAATTTTGTGGCAGGAAAAGCAAAACAAATTCACACGGCAATATGGGTTCGCCTACCACAACTACCCACAGAATTCTACGATGGATTAATCCTGAAAAAGATTGGAAATTCTATAGGAAGGCTACTCAAAATTGATGCATGCACCAGTTCCACCCTTAGAGGCCGATATACACGCCTTTGTGTGGAACTACCACTAGATCAACATGTCCAACAGTGTATACTAATTGGATCTCATCTCCAACAGCTTGTCTATGAAGGAATTAATTTCCTCTGCAAGCTACCTTGGTCATACAGTTACCTCATGCACAATTACTTCACCAAGGACAGGAAATTTGCAAGATCCTATCGCCCAGGAACAAGGCAAGGAAACTAACAACTCAATTACATCTCCCTCACCAGAGGACCAATGGCAAGTGGTGTCTTTCATCAGGCGAAGAAACCAAAGAACAAGGGATTCTGTTGAGAATAAATAAAAAAATTCTCCGCCAAAAATTATTGCACCAGGTAACAGTATAGATGTAAAAATCTATGATGCAGCAACAGGTAAGTATCTCAACTCTCAAAAACTAGTATATAAAGCTTTAAATACTCCTACATCTTCTACCATTAATGAACCTAATAATGTTAAAAAGAGACTTCCTCCCACAAAAAAGGAAGAAGGTTTAATGCCTATCTATAATAAATTTGATTCCCTCAATACTCCAAAATTTTCAGCCATTAATAGTGTAAATCCAAACTCCTCCTCCAATTTTGATCAAATTCTTCCGTTAAGTCCAAAGTACCCCATGGACCCCACTAACCAAGCCACTCCTATGGATACAAGTGGCAACCCCAAGCCATGCAAGCAAAACCCTAATCCACTTGACAGCTCAAACCTCTCTTCCTACACGCATAATACCTCCTTCCCCTCAAAATCTCTAGAACTCGTTCAACACTTGGCAGAGGCCTCTGGCCAAATGGCAACTCCAAACATTTCACCAATCACAAATAATCTTCTTCTCCAATCTTCCCTTTCCCCCTTGCATGCAAAATCTTCATCATTAGATTTGCAATCATTTGCACCAGTTTTTTACTCTTCTACCACCCATATAACTCACCCTCCCCAACACAGTATTCGAACACAGTCTTCTCCTCCAATATCATCTACTCCAACAACTCATAATCTATAAGGCAATGGACAATCTCCCCCCTTTCCACCTCAAATCCCATTCCACTCACCAACCTTCGTCTCTCAACTTCTGAATCCCCACCAAGATCCCCAAAGCTGGATAGAACAAGGCTTCCTAGGCCATGCAGCCTCCTTTCCGATGATAATCAATGGCCAGGAAGTATGGATTATTCTTCAGAATCCGAACTTTCTAGAATAATTAATTTCGGAAGGCATGGCCCTAGCAATGAGGAACTACATCAACCACATCTGGCTAGCCAATGTCCTAGATCCATTAGCCCCAACCATCACACCTGCATTGCTTCACAACATGCAAGCAAGTGGAACCTATCGCACCACTTCAATCCACCCAACAACATGGAGCTACTGTATCAACTCCCCTTCTTCACCCCGGTCAACCAAGTAACCAACCATCCAATCTTCTACCCTTGGTATCCTATCCCTCAGCATCACCCGATCCCCATGGACTTCCACCACCACCAACAACCTCCCTTTCGAACAAGATCAAGAAGATCCAGAGATACCCGAAGAACCGATAGAGGAAGTAATAGCTCCACCGGTTAGGGGATCGTTCACCGAGATTTCAAGCCTCAGAGAAGCAACTCTCATGCTATTTCAAGAACTGGAAGACATAAAATACATTCTCAGGTGTCCAGTGGCGCTTTACAAATGCTCAATCGACATTCGCCTTCCCATTCTTCAAGCAACGGGGAATTTTGCTGCGGTTCTAAGTACCTCCCTAAGACAGGTCAATTACCTCCTTCACCAAGGAGCAGGGAACAGTCACCACAACCCAAATCACCTATCAATGAATAGCCCAATGAGTTTAGTTGTATGGAATATACGTGGGGCTAACAATGATGAATTTAAAAGGAATTTCAGGGAACTGTTGCATACACACAACCCATGCATGATTGCCTTTCTGGAAACAAAAATGGTAGATCATACACCCTTTAGGGATGAGTTTCACTTCTCTAACATGTTAGAGGTCCCAGCAGTAGGCCATGCGGGTGATATTGTAGTGCTATGGTATGGAAATTTAGCCACACTGAACCTTGTTAGCAGATCCCACCATGAAATTCATGCCATGCTTCAGGTATCTCTCGTCCAATCTCCCTGCCTTATTAGTATTCTATATGCTAGTACATGTCTAAATATGCGAAAAGACCTTTGGAATAGCCTTTGTAATATAGCTGACAACTATCAGGGACCATGGTTAGTTGGAGGGGATTTTAATGAAATCCTATCCCAAAATGAAAAGTGGGGTGGCAGACCTCTTAACTCTAATCGGGCTTCACAGCTTTGGTCTTGCATAAATTATTGTAATTTATTAGATCTTGGTTTTAAAGGGGCTAAATACACTTGGACTAATTGTCATATTAATTCGGGAGGTCTTATCTTAGAGCGGTTAAATAGATACCTCGCTAACACCTTATGGATTAACCAATACCCTAATGCTCTCGTCACCTACCTCCCGAGAACCCACTCAGACCATGCCCCAACTCTTCTCCAATTTAAAGGAAAAGAGCCTCCTCACAGCAAAAACTATTTATGCTCGAAACTTACTGGTGCTATAGTACGGAGTTTGAAAATATTGTTAAAAACTCGTGGCAAAATAGACACCTCCTTGAAGCCACAGAATCTTTTCAACATAATGTTGTTCTCTGGGCAAAAGACACTTTCGGGGGCTCTAATAAAAAGAAAAGAAGAATCCTTGCAAGGCTGAGAGGAATCCAATCATCCATAAATTACCCATACAATCACTTCTTACACCTCCTTGAAAAGGACCTAATATCTGAATACAACAGTATTCTTAAAATTGAGGAAGACTATTGGAAAATACATTCCCGTTTAAACTGGCTTAACGATGGGGACACCAATATAAAATTCTTCCATCTAAGTGTCGTCAATCGTAGAAGGAAAAATACTATCTCATATTTTAAAGACAATGAAGGTAACTGGATCCATGATCCAGCCCAAATTCTAGTCCATACATTCTAATATTTCCAAAAGGCCTTTCAAACGGACCACATAGATACTCCTATAAAAAATATTTAAAATTCACAAACGCCCTTATAACTTAGATCTCTCCTCATTAGATTACCCATTATGGGACTACGAAGTCTCTCGAGCAATTTTTTCCTTCAAACCTTTTATGGCCCCAGGCACGGATGGTATTCACCTCTTTTTTTATTAAAAATATTGGCATATAGTTAAGAATCTGGTTCTATCATTTTGTCATAAAATTTTCAAGGACCTTTCCATTCCAACAACACTCAATTCTACTTATATCTGTCTCATCCCTATGTTTCACAATGCTAATAATCTAAAAAACTCCCGACCTATCGGTCTCTGTAACACCATCTATAAGGTAGTTACAAAAATTATAGTGAATAGAATCAAGCCCTTCCTCGATAAATTAATTGGCCCATGTCAATCTACTTCCTAAAGGGCCGAAGAACTTGTGATAACGCCATCATGATTCAAGAAATCATAAACCACTTCCAAAAATAAGGGGTCAACAAGGAAATGTTCTCCTTAAAATTGATTTGGAAAAAGCTTTCGGCCGTCTTGAATGGTCATTCATTTACCGGGCTTTACTTTTCTTTAAATTTCCCCCTCGCATCACTAAACTTATTATGAGTTGCGTTAGCACTTCCAGAATTGCCATCTTAGTCAATGGCTCCAAAACAGAATTCTTCCATCCCTCAAGAGGCATTCGTCAAGGCAATCCAATGTCTCCCTATCTCTTTATCCTATGCATGGAATTACTGTCAAAATATATTAACCACCAAGTCAACATCGGACTCTGGGACCCGATAAAACTCAATCCCACTGGCCCTCCCATCTCTCACTTGTTCTATGCGGACGACTTAACACTCTCTGCCAATGTTAACTCAAAGTCCATCCACACAATCAAACATAGCCTCACATTCTTCTCCCAACTTTCGGGCCAAAAAATCAACAATTCTAAATCAAAAATTATCTTTTCACGAAATTGTGATGCCCATACAAAGAATCAGTTTGCCAATATTTTGGACATCCGACCCAGTGATAACTTTGGAAAATATGGGTTTCCCAATTCTCACTCAAAAACCCAAAGCATCTGATGTGCACTACATCATTGATCACATGAACACAAAACTTGCCAGTTGGAAAACAAACTTCATTTCAATTGCAGAAAGAACAACCCTCACTAGATCAACTCTAAACGCTATCCCGAACCATGTAATGCAATATATCACGCTCCCTGCATCCACTCTAAAGTGAATTGACAAAATCCAAAGAGATTTTATCTGGGGTACCACCACTCAAAAACGGAAAATTCACTATATCAAATGGTCCACAATCACTCAGCCGAAACATGCTGGGGGTCTGGGACTCAGGAAAGCAGTAGATAAAAATATGGTATCCCTAGCTAGCCTCTCCTGGCGACTATTCAACAATCCTAGTTCTCTATGGGCCTCCACTCTTATTTCTAAATACAGCCATAAAAGAAACCACATCTCCAATTCATTCATCTAGAATAACATCATAACAGGCTGTAAAATCTGTAATCAAGGCCTACATTGGATAGTGGGCCCAGGTAAAATTAACTGTTGGACCTCTGCATGGATCCTAGGGCTCCCACCATTAAATTCAATCATCCAGGGACCAATCAACTACAATGACCAAAAACTCAAAGTCAAAGACCTCTGGGGAATAAACTCTTGGGATCTCATAAAACTATCATTTACTCTGCCCACAGAAATAAAAAACAAAATCCTTTCCATAAATCTGGACTCCTTCACCAGTGCTAGGGACATACCCACATGGGCCCACACCTCCAATGGTATCTTTTCCTCCAGCTCTATATACAAGTTAATCTCACCGCCACTTCCCAACAGTTTTAAATTCCAATGGATCTAGAAACTCAACACGCTCCATAAGGTTAAATACTTCCTGTGGCAATGTTCCTACAATCATCTTCCTACTCATAGTTATTTGCATCAAATCGGACTAAACATCAACACCCCTCTGTCCTATATGTAGAGCAGCGGAGGAGTCACTTATTCACATTTTCTTCAAATGCCCCATAGCCACCAAATTTTGGAGCGACGCTCAACTCAACCTTCCTCCCTTTCAACAGAGCCCCGATCATTGGCTCACTACCTTAAAGATTTGCACAAAACTTTGGATCAATGGGATATCTCTTGGGATATGTTCTTTCCATTAGCTATATGGTCTCTGTGGCTAAATCTTAATAATAACTCTTTCAACAATAAATGCAAACAGATATCGCTAGAAATAGTACTAGTACGTTGCAAAGAGTTTATGTATTATACCAATTCGTCAAACCATGTTCCTCCGTCTATTATCATCTCGATCAAATGGCTCCCCCCAACACACCCCTCCTTAAAACTTAACATTGATGGGGCCTTCAAAGGAAAATATAGAAAAGGGGGCATCAGGGGAATCTTCATAAATCGCCGTGGGGATTGGATTTTGGGTTACCACAATTCTGCCATAGCCTATACCCCTGCCTACATGGAACTCTTAGCCCTCAAAACTGGTCTTCAACTAGCTTTTGACAAAAAATTTATTAATCTTGAAATTGAGACCGATGCAACAGATGTAATTTCTTTGCTCAATAATGATACTTGTTCTATTTACTGTAACTTGGTTATTGAGTGCAGGTCACTACTGAAGAAATTGCAGAATCTGAATCTGCCGATCCGGCATAGCTTCAGTGAAGGGAACAAGATTGCGCACTTTTTGGCCACTCAAGGATCCAAGCAAACAAGTAGTTCCACTCTCTATCTGATGAAACAACCTTCAAACTCTCTTTCGAAAGCCCTCCATGAAGACAAAATTGGAAGCACTAAACGTAGGACAATATCTGCTGCTGTAATTACCAAATTAGTAGAACTTGGAAATCCTTATATAACTTGCACTACTAATGTAGACAATATGGTGGCCGAATCTATGAATGAGCCCAATAGGACTCTCTATCTTTGTAATAGTACTAGGTAAGTAATAAGAAGTTCGTATTTCCATAAATAAATAAAAAAGATGTGCCACGTCATCTCTTAATGGCCCTCCTTTATATATAGATGATAAGCAACGTTCCAATTGTTTAAGGTATCCTGTGTGCACCCTTATCATTCTTCTCTAGAAAAACCAAACATGCAAAATCTCATAAACCCATATGAAACAATGTTTTTAGTTCGATTTGTCTCTTACAGACCCTTTATACACAGATTAATCTTTCAATCTCCACTCTGTTTTTCTCCTTCACGTCCATTTTCATCATCTCAAATACAAAATTCTGATGACATCAACCTTGTCAACTACAAAGATTGGTTAAGCCCAAACGAGGTCATCAAAATTTTCCAAAATCTAAATGACCCAAATTCAGCTTTAAATGTACTTAATCAAATCTCAAAACGAAAAGATTACAAACCCAATGAAGCCATTTATAGTGTAGTTGTCAAAAACCTAGCAATGGCTAAGAATTTTGATGCAATTGAGACACTTATGGAGAAAATCAAATTTGAAAGAAAGTGTAGACTTTCTGATGAGTTTTTCTATAATGTTATTAAGATTTATGGGCATGTAGCTGGTAGAATTAATAGAGCAATCGAGACCCTTTTTGATATGCCTAATTATAAGTGCTGGCCGAGTGTGAGAACTTTCAATTTTGTTCTGAATTTGTTAGTGAATACTAAACAATTTGATGTTGTTCATAAGGTGTATATTCGTGCTTCTGAGTTGGGTGTTGAGATTGATGCTTGTTGTTTGAATATCATCATTAAAGGGTTGTGTCGTTGTGGGGAGCTCGATGCTGCATTCAAGGTGTTCGATGAATTTCCTAAACAAAATTGTCAACCCAATGTGAGGACTTTTTCGACTATAATGCACGCTTTATGCGAGCGCGGTCGCATTGATGAGGCTTTGGGCTTGTTAGAGAGGATGGAAAAGGAAGATGTTGAACCAGATGCTATCGTGTTTAACACGCTGATTTCGGGGCTCAGGAAGCAAGGAAGAGCTGACGAGGGGATTGAGATGTTTAAGAAAGTAATGCTGAAAGGTTGTGATCCGAATCCAGGGACATATCAGGAGGTTTTGTATGCTTTGCTTGATGCTAAGAGATATTTAGAGGCTAAAGATTTTATGGCTGTTATGATTGATAAGAGGGTGAATCCAAGTTTTGAGTCTTATAAGCTGATAATACATAGCCTTTGTGATGGGAAGCGTCTTGGCGATTTAGACTGGGCGTTGAGGCAGATGGTGAGACACGGATTTGTGCCGAGGATGGGTATGTGGAGGCAGATTCTTGGTTGCTTGTTTCCCGATGGAGATTGTTGTACTGCCTATTCATATGAAGAAATTCTTGCGGACTAATCTACGAGGTTTAGAAAATTAACTGAATGGTATTAAAAGTCCCATTACGTGTTGTTAGAAGTATCGCATTGGTTGCATGACGGGAATTTAGTCTTCTGGTATAGCTTTTGGAAATCTTATCTCATGAGCTAGTTTTTGGGGTTGAATTAGAATTTATTTCTTTTATTTACATGGTATCAGACCCATGCGCCAGTTGGCAGGGTCTGGGCGTGCCGCATAGGGGGGGTGGGCGTGGTATTAGAAGTCCCACATTAGCTGTGAGATAGGAATTTGGTCTCCTATGTTTGTTTTGGGCAACCCTTACCCCATGAGATAGTTTTTGGGATTGATAGATCCTATATCCATTTCTTATCACTCCTACAGCTTCTGAGTTCAAAATTTTCATTCCAAGTGAAAGGACAAGATGACGCACTACCACCATGGTTGTCAGCACTACCACCATAATCACTATCACCACCATAAGCTGCCTTTGGATATGAAACTTTTCAAGGATTTCCATCTATATATCCTCTTCCACCGGCTTTAGGGTTCCTTCAGCTTGGCAATGCGAAACCACCTTCGACTGAATATGACGCAGGTATTCCTCCAACTCATCGCTCTGAGAAACATCATGTTAATAATTTCTTTAACTTGATTGTGATAACTAGCACAATGAAAATTCAAATTCGCATCGCAATATCGCATAGGCTCATTATTTAAAATAACAATACAATATAGTATATTGGTAACAACTATCTAAACAAGTTCTAAAGGATGAAGCTCTCCTTACTAGGGGTTTCTCCATTCTAGGGGTTGAACTCGAGATATCTGGTTAAGGTTGGAGGGATCTCATTCATCGCACCACCTCCCGTTGTGGTCATTCCTCCTCATGTTGAATTTGAGCGAACAATTTTTTTTTAAAAGTTTAAAATGTTACGGAAGGAGACTCTTTAATTTATTTATTCTATTCTTACATGCTGCATGAATCTTTAAGTACGTAAATTGATGGGGAGATTTGAACTCATCATCTCCAACTGCTTTGATCCGCTTCATCTGAAAACTTAAACTCTTGGAAAAGAGACACCTATATTCCTTTGAGTATATATTAATAACATCAATCTCACCATGGAAAATAGTAATACTGTTTGGAAGTCGAAACACTAAATTCTTTGACTATAATTTTTGAAATATTTTCTCATATGAATTATTTTTAATTTTTATTACTTTCTATTAATTTATGATTCCTATTTTTTTTTTCCAAAATTAAGAAATCATGTTAGAAGAAACAACTAGATAGATCCACCCTATACATACTCTGAAGGATCATACCTTTTGGGGAAATATGAAGTTCGCCTTAATTCCGAGTCTTGATGTAAATATTATTCTACTTATGTTTGACCTAATTATTATTGTAAGAAAATCAAGAAAGTATGACACCTAACTTACATCCTGGAGTTAATATATAGTTCTTGTAGTATATGACGCGTTATGCCATTCCATTCTCTTTTAACTTGCGCTTAATCAAGAACATGCGACACTTCACTAGTCTCTTTTAAGCGTTATACATACTTGAAGTTATCATATAGTTCAAATAAATAAGATAAATACTTTGGGAAGCAAATCATAAAAAATAATGTAAATTGAAAATTTTAAGAGGATACTTTAAGAGTGCAACAGAAACTCTCTAAATTTACCAATAAGATAAAAAGAAAATAAAAACCACGTGTCTCAAGAATCAAGCAAAAACAAAAAAGAGTTGGGGCGAGGATTAGAAACTAGAGAAAAAAAAAAGGGAAAAAGGCCGGATTCACCCATGTAATATGGTATATAGTTTACATTTATCCTTCGTTATACTTTTTTGTTTAAATCCACCCTTATTGTTAACAGAGTGTGCAAAATTGCCCTCAGCCTAAACATCTTTCCACTGTGGCACCAGACCCTCAATTAAATTGCCAGATAGATAGATAGCCAAGTCAGCACCTATTTTTAAAATGTCTTTTATAATAAAATGCTGGTCCCCCCTCAATCATACACCGGTTTTCACTCTCCTGCACCCAATCCTCACAAAAAACCAATAAGATAAAAAAGAGAAAAAGAAATCCTGTGTCTCAAGAATGAAGAAACAAAAAAGGCCGTGAGTAGCAGGGTAGACTTGACTGTTCTTCAGGTTTGACTAATAAAACTTGTAGTACAAATAATTGACAATCTTACCCAAAAAACACTCCAAAGACTAATGACAGTATATTTGCATCCAATGAATTTGATGCCATAAAGTCAAGAGAGACTTGTTGATTGTATGGTCAAACCAAATCGACCGGCATTCCCCAATACTAGAATAACAACAGTATATATTACTCCACTAGTATCCAATGAATATGATCATTCATCAATTCTTGTTTAATAGCTATGGGCAGAAGTTGCAATCTTCTCTTTGGTCTTGCTGTTTTCATTTTGTTTCATTACCATACATCACTGGCTATTGTTCCCAATGTTAGCACCGATAAAGATGCTCTTCTCGCCTTGAAATCTCACATTTCTTCCTCTGATCCTAATGATATCTTAGCAAGCAACTGGTCTTCCTTCAGCCATGTTTGCAGCTGGATTGGCATCACTTGTAGCTCGCGCCACAATAGAGTCACAGCTTTAGACATTTCTAGCATGCAACTTTATGGTACCATTCCTCCACACGTTGGAAACCTTTCATTTCTTGTTTCCCTTGACATCAGTAACAACACTTTTCATGGAAAGTTGCCAGAAGAGTTGTCTCATTTGCAGAGGTTGAAATTGATTATTGTCGATAGCAATAACTTTACTGGTGTCATTCCATCATTCTTAAGTCTGTTACCAAACCTTCGCATTCTGCGCCTTTCGAGCAACCAATTTTATGGGAAAATTCCACCTTCCCTTTCCAATCTAACAAAACTAGAAGGATTGGGCGTGGAGCACAATTTTCTTGAAGGAGAGATCCCTCGAGAACTCGGTAATCTTCGTTACATGACTATCCTAGACCTACAAGTAAACCAGCTTACTGGCTCTATACCTCCATCAATCTTTAACATTACCACAATGCGAATCATTACTCTTTTCAAAAACAATCTTGCTGGTAATCTTCCAACAACTATATGTGAAATCTTCCAAACTTGGAAGTTCTTTACATCCCAGTTAACAACCTAGACGGTGTTATTCCATCAAACCTAGGAAAGTGCAGAAAGCTTCGAATCTTGTCATTGTCTGGCAATAAGTTCATTGGAACTGTACCAAGAGAGTTAGCCAACTTAAAAGCTCTAACAGAATTATATCTTGGATATCAGCACTTGCAAGGTAGTGTAATAATAGTACTTTTTACGAGAAATCTAATAAAAATATTCTTCCTCTTATTGGTACTCATATAGCATTTCCCCCACTTGACAGGAGAGATACCAGCGGAGCTAGGTAATCTTAAGAAACTACGGTTGCTGGGATTAAACAAGAATGAGTTTACGGGTTCTATCCCTACAAACATTTTCAACATATCAGCACTGCAGATCTTAGATCTTTCTGTAAACAGGCTTTCAGGTCGTCTACCATCCGATTTTGGCCGTGGAATTCCCAGCTTAGAAAATTTTTCTTGCGGGTCGAATAATCTGAGTGGTTCTATCTCTGCTTCAATCTCAAATTCTTCAAGACTCAGAACACTTTATCTCTCGTTCAACAGTTTCACAGGTCCAGGAATCGAATAATCTGAGTGGTTCTATTTCTGCATGCATGAATCCGTTAACTAATTCAATTCTTATCTGAACATCATAAAATTTAGAACCATAAATTGACTTCATGAATGATTTACTAGTACTACTATTT